TGTTTGTGTCCGTGTGTGTGTGTGTGTGTGTGTGTGTGTGTGTTTCTTTTCTACTGTTGGAGTGAATGAGTTTTTACTATTTCTTTATTTTCCTTTTACTGGTTTGGAAGGACCTTAGACTGCTTTAACTTGGTTTCCCCCTGTCTGTCAAGTTATTAATAGATATTAGACAACACTTCCTCTTTGTCTTGAATACTCATACCTGTAATTATTATAGTCTGTACTAATTTAGCTTTATTAATTAGTATGTTTTCTAATGTCTTTGCTCATCATGATTTTTTTTTTCCAGGTCAATTTCTTCCTTCCCGAAGTGTGGATCCTTCATTATTTTCTTTGAAAATTTGGGTCTTAAATTCTCCAGTCTTTTCTGAAAATTTTGTTACTTTGTACTTACTCTTTAAAAACAGTTAAACTGAAGGAATTCTAGATGGCTAGTTTTCCCCCCACAGTTCATTAAAGATACCATTTCATTGTTCCTTGGAATCTAGACATATTGATAAGCCATCTATGTCAGTTTTTATATAATCATGCTGGTAGACTATCTGATCTTATTAAATATTTGCTTTGTTAGTTTAAAGAATATTCTGTTTGTCTCTGAAGTTCTGCAGTCTCACTATGATGCATACAGGTGTAGATTTGTTTTCTTAATTCTGCTTTAGATCCACATCTTTCTACGTTTCTGGAAAATTCTCAGCATTATCTCTTCAAATATTGACATTCCCTCCTTCTCTGGGATTTCCTTCTGCAACTTCTGTTCGGTAGATATAAATCTGTCTTTGTCATACAGGCTTCAATGGATGTTAACCTTTCTTTTGTATTTTTATCTTTTTGTTCCTCTGTACCTCCTTGTAAGTGATTTCCTCATATCTGTCTTCTAATTCATTCATTCCGTCTTCAGTTCATTCTGTTCATTTTATCTGTTGAGTTTGAGTTTTTAATTTAATGTCTGTCTTCATATATGTAATTTCTATTTGGTTCTTTTCCATAGTCAATGTTCTTTTGTAATCATGTATGGTTCTTGTGTAATGGTTTCTATTCTTGCTTTTGTTTTTTAAAATGAAAAGCACTTATTTAAAAATCTTTTAAAGATTGTTTTATTATCTCCGGTTTATGGTACAAATTTCGTTGCATCTTCTGATTCAACCTCTTGGTGACTTGTTTCTTTATGCGATATATTATCTTTGTGTAGTCATCTTTAGCAGGGTTTCCTTTTTGAGAGAGTTCTATGTGTTCTAGATGAGTAAATGTCCTTAAGGATGGTTTTACATTTAGCTTATTAGTTATCACTGGTTCTAGGCCAACTTTCTATATTAAAGTTTTGGCATTATGTCCCTATATCATCTGGGTAAGATAAACTTGGACCACATTCTTGTGTGTTCTCATTATTCACAAGAAAATCTTTTCACCCATGGTTCTAGTTTTATTTCCGTTCACCTAAGGCTATGGGTAGTCTTTTTGTAGTCTGTGGTTCACAGGTGTAGCTCTTTATGACTCCCACACATCATTTTCTAGCTGTTAAGCTGTTTTGGCTTCTGTTCCTGTTGACTGCTTTCAGTTTGAGTTGCTGCTTTATTTTTGGTGCTAGGGTATTTCCCTTGCCTGAGTTTGATCTTAGCAATATTTCCTACATTTTATCCAGCATTCCCATGGGTTTGGAGCAGAAGAGTAGCCTTCTGAGTCTTCTTGGTCAACTATGTTGACCAAAAGCTGAATAGAATAAAAAAGGTATATGCTTTTGAAGATGTTTATTATAGTGTTAACCTTTAAAAGTGAAAAAGGGACTTGAGCTAACAATAGGAATATATTAGTACATTATGTTAACTTCAATTCGTTAGAATATTTTATAGCCATTTAAGGCACTAATTATAAAAAGAAACATTTTTTTCTATTTGTTATGGGGAAACAGTACAAAATTGTGTATATGCTGTAGGTGAAAAATAGAGGGTAATATTAAAAATAAAAATGTCACAGCAACACTCCAGAACAAAGCAGGCGTCTCCTCTGGCTGCTCCACTCCTGTCCCCAGTTGGAGTTGATCCCAAGAAGATGACGAGTGGAATTGAGGTGAACCCATGAGTTTATTCTTCCCAAATAAGTCATTCCACCTGAAGTGAGGGTCCGGGGGAGGCCGGGAGTTAACAGTTTGAATTTCTACCACAAAGAAGGAGGAATCCTGGGGAGTTGGAGATGTGTTTTAATTAATAGTTAATTTTAGAATAAATTGTCATGTGTTTGCTTTGGCATTTGTTGATTAACTAAAGTGTAGTTAATGAAATTTTATTTTATTTTTATTTGAATCTTCAGTATATCCCAATTTTTAAATTATCATCTGCTTTTAGGCGTTTAAATGCAGAATTGGAGGCAAAAACAGCTGATCTTGTTCGACAAGCTGAAGAAGTAATAGTAAGTAAATGTACAGTTATTAATAATCCCATGTAAGTGCTAGTATTTTAACTTTTTAATTTGATTTATGACATACATACAAAAAAAGTACCCAAAGCATAAGTTTTCAGCTCAATGAATTATCACATATTGAACATGAATATATATAGGTACGTGTATATGTACATGTATATATTTTTGGTAAGCACACATTTTCTAAAAGCTACTGAAAAAGTGCTTTCCATTTAGATGTCCAATCATCTAATAAGAACATTAATATTTAATATTTCCTACTATTTTAAGATTAATATTTGTGAGTAGCTATATAGTATTAACACTGGTAATTTAGTAAGGAAAGAAATAAAATGGTCTCTGGACAAAAGTTGAATATAGTATAACAATCATCAGATGGTAATTTGTTTCTTAAACTCTGCAGTTGGATATAATTTAAATTCTTAGGGCTAGACAATAATCAGATTTACGGTCAGGAAGAATGTAGTAAGGTTATAACACTAAACAGTGTAAGCATATTTTTGCCTAATTCTGGGCACTAAATTGGTTATTCCTACTTCAGGCATCCCTCCTTTAGCATCAGCATTCCCATTGCTCATTGATAGGTTATATTGTAGTAGCATTCCTTAGAGGAGTAAAGTGGTTGCTTTCAAGCTTTTTTATTTTTTTAGTTTCTATTCTAATTTAATTACCTGGGAGTTGATGGGGGCAGGAAAAAATAGGCAACATTTTATTTTAATAACTTATACAGATCCACCATTATTTGTTAGTTTAGGAATAACATAAATATTTGTATATATATAATTTCAGGTAATATATTTAGATAATAGTTGCAGATTTGCTAGTTACATTTGTAATTAAATATTTCACTGAAAATAAATATTTTTATTTCATTTTTTCGCTTTTGCCAGTGTCTGAAGAGCAGGAAAATACTTGAACAAAGAAACTCAGTGTTGTAGTAGAATGAGGGATTTGTCATGTATTCTGCCCAAAGAGCACTCTAATAAGGACTTTTTAATTTTTAATTTTTTTTCTTTCTAAAAAGAGTAGAGTAGAAAACTGGGACTGGCTGGGAAAGGGATAGGGCATTCCTGTCCCCACGGAAGCTAATGGATATGACTTTTGCCACACTGAATTGTTTTCTCACTTTCGTTTCTTGATATATCTTTGCCAAAAGCTGTTATTCTTTGCTTCCTTTTTAGCATTTTCATGGTTTTCTTAACATTGAAGCTTTGTGTGATTTCAAAACAAGTTTTTCTACCCATTAAATGAATTTATGTTTTCATTTCTTGTGAGTCTAATTTCCTTTGCATGTTACACAAGATGGAAGACTCTGATGTATAATAGTTGGGGGAGCAGGAGCCGGCTAAGATCATGTAAAGGCATTGGCACTCTTACATTTTTCCTTTACAATTGGCTTTCTTAACCCAGAATGAATGAAAGGTTAAACTACTTTGTAATAGACCTTATTTTCATACCATAGCATTTAGAATGCTGCACCTTGATTTCATGGAAAATGGACAACTCTGAAATGATTAATGATCATAAAGGCACTTGAATAGATCCTAGTTTTGTGGGGGGTTTTTTATATGACTTATCTTTATTCACTTAACCAGAGAGATCAGCAAGAAGTACAATCTAGGCCTATTTCAACACAAATTAAATCATATGAAGTGGAAGATGACTACAGTTTAAGGTAAGCTACTTAAAATCTCAAACTTTTTTTTCTAAATGCATAAATGCTTTAAAATTGTCTTCCTTTTTTATTAAGGTATAATCATCATACAACATTATATTAGTTTCAGGTATACTGCGTAATGATTTAACATTATATATATTGTGAAATGGTCACCACAATAAGCCTTAGGTAACATCGGTCACTATACATGGTTGCAGATTTTTTTTTCTTGTGGTGAGAACTTTTAAGATCTACTTTCTTAGCAACTTTCAAATATGCAATACAGTATTAACTATAGTCACCATACTGTACATTATTTCCCATGACATTTATTTTATAACTGGAAGTTTATACCTTTTGACTCCATCCATTTAGCCCACCCTTTGGTCCCCAGCCTCAGGCATCTACAAATCTGTTCTCTATATCTGTAAGTTTGTTTGATTTTTTAAATTCCACATATAAGTGATATCATATGATATTTGTCTTTGTCCAATTTAATTCACTTAGTATAATGGCCTTGTGGTCCATCCATGTTGTCCCAAATGGTTAGATTGCATTCTTCTTTATGGTTGAATAATAATCCATTATATTTATATACCACATCTTTTTTTATTCATTCACCTGTCAGTGGACATTCAGGTTGTTTCCATATCATGGCTGTTGTAAGTAATGCTGCAATGAACATGGGATGCATATATCTTTTTGAGTTTGTGTTTTCATTTTCTTCAGATAAATACCCAGAAGTGGGATGGCTGGATCATATGGTAGTTCTATTTTCAATTTTTTGAGGAACCTCCATACTGTTTTCCATAGTGGCTGCACCAATTTACGTTCCCATCAACAGCACACAAGGTTCCTTTTTCTCCATATCCTCACCACTATTTGTTACCTCTTTATGATAATAACCATTCTAACAGGTGTGAAGTGCTATATCATTGTGGTTTTGATTTTCATTTCCCTTATGACTAATGATGTTGAACATCTTTCATGTACCTCTTGGCTAGCTGTATGTCTTCTTTGGAAAAATGTCTATTCAGGTCCTCTGCCCATTTTTTAATCAGATTTTTTAAAACTTTTCTTTCTTTTTTTTTTTTTGCTGTTGAGTTATATGAGTTCTTTTTATATTTTGGCTATTAACTCTTTATCGGATATATGATTTACAAATATTTTTCTCTCATTCAGTAGGTTGCCTTTTCATTTTGTTGATGGTTTCTTTTGCTGTGCAGAAGCTTTTTAGTTTGATGTAGTCCCACTTGTTTATTTTTGCTTTTGTTGCCTTTGTTTTTGGTGTTAAATCCAAAAAATCATCTCCAAGACTGATGTCAAGGAGCTTATCACCTATGTTTTCTTCTAGGAGTTTTATGGTTTCAGTTCTTACATTTAAATATTTAATGCATTTGAGTTAATTTTTGTGTATGGTGTAAGATAGTGACCCAGTTTCATTCTTTTACATGTGGCTGTCCAGTTTTCCCAACACCATTTATTGAGGAGACTGTTTTTTCCCCATAGTATATTTTTAGCTCCTTTGCTGTAAATTAATTGACCATGTGTGTGTCTGTTTCTGGGCTCTTTATTTATTGATCTGTGTTTCTGTTTTTAATGGCAGTACCATACTGTTTTGATTACCATAGCTTTGTAATATAGTTTGAAATGGGGGAGAACTTTTTTTTTTTAATTGGGGAATTGGGGGAGGGGAACAGCGCTGGGGAATTGGGGGATGGGAACAGACAAGTTGCTGTCCTTTTGTTCTTCAGTCTAGTTGTGGAGGACGTTGCTTCACTGGCCCAAGTTGGCACCATCATTGCGCTCTTCCCGGGCGAGGCAGATCAGTCGCCGGCTTCTGGACGGCCGCTCACTGCGGCTGCTGGCCGCTCACGCTGGCTGCTGGCTACACACGGTAGCCCATGGCAGCCCACTGCAGCAGGGGCTGCAGCCTACGCCAATGCCGGTGACTCATGGCAGCCCAGCTCCAGGTCGAGCTGCTGCTCACCATCTTAGCTGTAGAGAGCAGTGTCACTGGCCCTCATGTGGGATCCGAACCGGAGTCCTGTTGCTCGGAGCTGGCGTCCCAAGCCAGCTCTTAACCAACGCGCCACTCAGCGGACCTGGGAGAACATTTTTTGATGGTATATGTAAATCTTTTATTATATAAAATCATTTTGCTTGTGAGTATTCTAAATCTATAATTTGAAGAATGTAATGTGTAAAATACTAATAATTGGGGGCTTATATCAGTCAGATACAATGTCAACCTTTTACATACTTTATTTCATTTAATTCACAAAGTATTATCTTGAAATAAATATTATTGTCCTCATTTTTAAAATGAGGAAACTACAGCTTAGTGAAGTTCAGTAGCTTGTCCAAGGATGTATAGATAGTATGTGATTTCACTGATATCCAAACCAGAGTTGATATGATTTCTAAAACTATTCTTACATACTATGCTGCCTTTCTTTTAAAGTTGCATATCAAGATTAGGTAAAAATAAATTAATTTGTAAAAGTAAAGTGTATTAGATCTTTTTTTCTTTGAATTTCATGTGAACTTCAGATATGTCAAGAAATTAGGGACCAATAACACATTTGGGACTAAATTTGCAGGAAAAGTATAATAGGATTTGTGTGAATAAAATTGTAAAATCTTAGAGACAATGGTGATCACCAAACATTCCAAGTCTCTTGCTATGAGAAGAAGTCGAATTATTCTCTTCCAAGCCTAAACAGACAGGGATTGGTCTTTCAGTCTCCAGCTGACTTTCTCTGTCATGATCAGTGAAAATTTAGTTTGTGAAACCTCTTAGCCTGGTCTCTGGGTGACTATGTGGAATGTAAAGAAAAAAGGGCCCTTTCTCCCTCACTACTGCTGCTTTGAGTATGTTAAGCCGCTGAGATTTTGGGGTTAATATCCTAGCCTGTCTTAACTAATATAGCATTTGGTATTGAGAGTTGGGTGTCCTATAACAAACTCTAAAATTGTGGCTTTAGCTTAGCAGTTAGGTGATAGCTAGCAAGGAAACTGATATTGGAGGCTGGAAAGATAGAGGAATACTGTTATGTAGTTGCAATTAATTTAGTAAAACTGTCACTTTTGGTAAATAGGGAGGCAGAACAGATGTGCTCTAGGGGAAGAGGTTGGAAAACAGAACATTAGTAGTATACGCTGTTACAATTAGCTGTAGTTAGCATGGTATTTTAAAGAGGAGACAAGTCTGTGAGAGAATTGGCTGTTTTGCAAGCAGAAATGAAAGAGAATATGGAGATTCTAGGAATTAGAGGCCTCCAATATTGGAAGAGTCACCTGCTTCTAATTTTGATGAGGTCCAATTTATCAATTCTTTTTTCTTTTGTGATCTGTGCTTCTGGAGTCATATCTAAGAATCCATTGCTAAATCCAAGATCATTAAGATTTTTGTTTTCTTCTAAGCGAATGATGTTCTTACATTTAGGTCTTTGACTCATTCGAATTAATTTTTATATGTGGTATGAGATGAGGGGCAACCCTCGTTCTTTGACACGTGGATATCCAGCTGTCTCAGCACCATTTGTTGGAAAGACTATTCTTTCCCCATTGAATGATCTTGGTACCCTTGTCAAAAATCACCAGAGATACATGGTTTTATTTTTGGACATAGATTATATCCCACTGATCTATGTATCTGTTCTTATGCCAGTACTACATTGTTTTGATTGCCCTTGCTTTGTAGAGTTAGTTTGCTTTCGGACCTCAACAATTAATTGAGAAAAATCTTTGAGGAATAAAAGCCTGTTAAAGCTCAACCTTAAGGCAAAGATCAGACTAAAGGTGTGGTCTCCACAACTGTTGATGGAATTTTCCAATGGATTAAGACTCTTCAGGGCAAGGATCATCATACTAAATGGCACCTTAGTGAAATTTCCCAATTGGATGAAAAGGCTCAGGGCAAAGATGAAACTATAGGTATAGTCTCTGCATAGAAGCCTGATAACCTCAAAACAACCCAGTTTTAAACTGGGGTTGGGGGAAAAGGGGAAGATGAAGGGGAGAGGGAGAAAGGTATTCAGGGTAAAGAAATACAGTCTCAGAAAGAATTGTGGTTGTGCTTATGGCACATGGAGCTGACTGGAATCAAGTAAGAAACTCACCAGTTTCTGAGAGTGCTGTACCAGCAAAGAAACTTTAAGAGTGACGGATCGAGACTGTTACTGGTTAAATCTTAAAATAGCTATCATTCCTCCCAGTCTTCTAAGATGAAGAAGCAGGCTGTGATAGTTTCACAGCCCTAATTGGGTATAATATTTAAACACCTTAGAGGACTTAGAAGCAAATGAACAAACATACTTAACTGGCATAATTGAAATATTGGAATATTATTCAGGTACTCAAAAGTAATTATTGCATACTATTTAGCAATTTTCCTCTAGCTATTTAACCAAGAGAAATGAAGAAATATGTCCTAGCAAAAATTCGTATGCAGATATTTGTGGCAGTTTTATTCATAATTGCGAAAACCTGGGAACAACTCAGTATCTATCAAGTAGAGAATGGATAAACAAATCATGGTACATCCATGCAATGGAATACTACTTGACAGTAAACAGCAGTGACTTACTGTTAATGCAGCAACATGAGTGCTAAGTGGAAAAAGCCAGACTAGAAATGTATATTTTTATTATTTTTTCAATATTAAACACAGAGATATACTTAGATATTATCAAATACCATGTTATTCCAAAAATAAGACCTAACTGGAAAATAAGCCCTAGCATGTTTTTCAGGATGCTCATAATATAAGTCCTACCCCAAAATAAGCCCCAGTTAAGATCGTCAGCCAGACATGACTGTTTGAATAAATGTAGATTTTTGTATATGAATAAAGGAATAAAATGCGTCTTTTCGAGCAAAAATTAATATAAGACTTGGTCTTATTTTCAGGAAAACATAGTATAACCTCTTAAAGAACTAGAAATATCTGTGGAAGAAAAAAATGTCTTAAAATTACAGAGATTAAAGAATAATTCTCATATATGACATGAAAATGTTTTCAAATTTTATGTATGATTCCATATATTTGACATTCTGGAAAAGGTAAAACTATAGGGACAGAAATCAGGTAAGTGGTTGCATGGGGCTGAGGGAAAGGGATTAACTACAAAGGAAACTTGTGGAGATGATGGAAATATTCTCTATCTTGGTATTTTTAGTGGATATATGACTACATAAGTTTGTTCAAATTTATGCAACTAGGATGTATACCTAAAAAGGATGTATTTTACTATATGTAAATTATATCTCAATAAACCTGAAAAAGTAATTTCTGAACACCATTAGGGCCAGGTCTAGTGGTATAATGGTGAGTAAACAGGTCAGGACCTGTTCCCATGGAGCTAATGCCTAGTGTGTTGCTTTTTAATTTTTCTTTTGAAAATTTTCCATAAAAAATATTTTTTACATCATCATTTGATATACACATATCTATGTGTACATATAACATGAAACTACTTGTCCTTATTGTATGCAATGCTCTGATATTTTACGGAAAACGTTAAATAGTTATCAAAATTCCAAGCTTTGGATTACAAATAAGATTAGGCATGACTTTAATTCAGTAACCTAAAAGATTGAAATGATGGTAACAACACCTGATCTCTAGTTTCTGTTGAAGCGAGAGACTGATTTCACAAGCATAAAAATAAAGCTGTTGTTTTTCTTTTACTGAATTTTCCTTAAGTGCAAAGTGGTGATAGCACCTCTGTTTACCTTCTTTTTTTTTTTAATGATTCTGTTTGAACAGATGGCTTTTACCACGTGAAACATGGCACTTAGGACTATTAGTTGGGAATTGCTGAAGATGGGAGATAATTAATTCTGTAAAGAGACGATCCATTTCAGCTTGGAACAATGACATTTATCTAAATTATTATAGTCAGGAAGTATATAATAGGTCTTCAACATCCAGGGTTACTCTGCCAAACAATATGATAGGGAAACCAGAATTTACTTTCCTGAAAGTATAGTGTACATATCCTTTAGTCTGCTGGAAGCAAGGTTTACAGCACAAATCATTTCAATCATATTACACACAAGCCTTTCCTGGAGATTTTTAACAAAAATAATCATAATACTCTGTGTTTTAGTTCATTTTTCATGAAAATATAATAACAAGGTAATAGCACTCTGCTAAAACTGATGGAGACAGATACCCATTAAATGTCATTTGGCTGGTATGCATGTGTATGTGGCAAGGAGAGGGGAGATGGAAGATGCGAAAATGTAAGGAAATGGCAAATATTAATTTAAAACGAGGATGATTAAAGAGGACACTTAAAATTTGTATAAAATTTGGAAAGATTTTCATGTTATATGTGAGAATGGTTCTTTAGTCAGTGTAATTTTAAGATATTTTGAAAGCCATTTTTTCCTTCCAGAGCTATTTCTAGTTCTCTAAGAGGTTGTATTTAATAATACCTATCTAAGTGTATCTTCGTGTTTAATATTGAATAAACCTACATATAACTAATTCAGTAGGCGGCATCTGATGGAAAGTAATTTTGTTTTTGTGTCCTCTACTAGGAGATCTTAGAGGCTATAATGGAGTTTTTCTCTTTTTTAAAATTTTTTTATAACAATAGATACTAATGTAGTAGGTTTTCTGAAATATTAAGACGTGTTAGAGATGATCTAGAAAATTGATCAGGGGGTAGGCAGACTTTTCCTGTGAAGAGTCCGACAATAAATATTTTTGGATTTGTGGGCCCATGCAGTCGTCACAAATATTCAGCTTTGCTCTTGTAGTATGAAAACAGCTATATGCGTAAGCTGTGTATAAATGAATGGATGTGGGTGGATTCAGCCTGTGGGCCGTAGTTGGCAGACCCCCATAGACACTCTTTGTTTTAACTACAAATATATTTTGAAAATTTTGTGCATAAAAATGAGTTGTATTTTAGATGTATTTATTTATATATCTAAAACTATGTAATAAATATTAGCACCAATTTAAGAGTTTATATGCCAGGTACTATGCCAAGTACTAGGTATAGAACAATGAATTGTGATTTCTGTCATCATGGAGTTCACTATGTAATGGAGAACAGACACTGACCAAGTATTTCAATGCATTAGACAAAGGATAACATTGAGTGGGCTCATAATAAACAGCCCTGTGGTGAATCATTTCGTAAAATAGATAATCCCTGTGGATAGCCAATAATCACTCCTTGTGAGTTTCCATTTATTAAGATTTGTGCTACAGTTTCCTAATAAAATGTTAGCGTTGTAGTATATTTTATCAATTATAGCAGTCTACTTGATGTAGTTTTCCTTTCAAATATAATTGTTATTGAATTTATTGTGTCTCAGCAGTATCATCTGTTATTAATGTGTAATGTTTGTTTTTGATCTGTAGAGGTCTGTTATCATCTGAAGGGACAGTTCATCTACATTCAGAAACTAAGGTATGAAATTAAACTTTTTGTGAAAGTAATTACAATCTGTAGAATTTAGGTTATTTTTTAGACTTTTCTTAGACAAGACAGAAGGGTTATGACTCTAGAAATAGAATATAAGTCTTGATACTGTAAGAAGAGATGACTTCATGTACTGTTGCTCATAAAATAAATCGAATCATTTTTTTGTCTCAATTTCACTGAACAGTTTGGAGATACATTGGAAAAAATTCTAAGTGAAATGAGTCTGTAACCTAAGGATTTTTAGTTTTCTCTCTGAAGCTCAAATTTCCTAGATAGAAGACCTGAAAAAGCATTCATATACAAAGAATGTGAATTAAAAGGTTTATTCATTCATTGCAGTATTTATAGTGTAGAGATCACTATCGCAGGTGCTGGGCTTACTGGGACCTCCAGTTCTCCACCTCTGGGCATCTATTTTTTTTAATTTTATTTTATTTATTTATTTTTTAGCTGAGCCATCCTGCCACCTTTTGGCAGCTCAGCGGCAGCTCAGCTCAGGCCGGGAATCGAACCGGCGACCCTATTGCTCAGAGCTCGCACTCTTGAGCGAGCTCTTAACCAACTGAGCCACTCGGCTGGCCTGGGCATCTAGGGCCTACATAACAGTATGCCTGAAAGCCTGTCTGGGGAATAATCAGTAAGAGAACTAAATTCTGTGAGTCCGAACATCCAATTTAACATTCCACCAGCTGGCTGAATATCATTGAATCTTTGGGACTCATTTTCCTTATCTGTGAATCTCTTGGTCCTAGTGATATCTAGGTGTTTTCCGGCTGTACCTTGTAGGATTATTTAAAATACAATTTGATTAATTTCATGAAAATAGCAATTTTTTATGTAGCAAACTAGCAAGTCTGTGTATTACAAAATTGGTTTTCTTGGCAAATGGTTAGAATCTAATTAATCAATAGTTTAAATTCTTTTCATGTAAGCCAAAGACCAAAAATGTGGATCCAGTAAACAAGGTTCAAAACAAACTACACTCTGCAAATCAAGCAAGGAAAACAAATTCAAGGTACAGTACAGTTTTAAAAGTATACTTTCTTTTTTAAATTTTATAATTCACAGATTCATAATTCGTAATTATTAAGCTCCTTCTGTTCCTCCAGATCTTTTTATACCCAAAATATACAAAATTACACTGTATATATCTATCCACATTCAATAATTTAAAACATATTTCTAGTCAGAAATGTTCTTGCAGCTATTAATTTTGTATTGCTTTCTTAAGCAAAATGACATTTCAAATTTTTAAAATATTATTTTTAGTGAAATATTTTCTTAGAACTAGAACTAGAATTAGAACTCTGCCTAGTTTCTCAGACTAAATAGTCATACACTTTTTGAGCATTTAACAGGCACCATACCATATTGTATATATTGAGATACAGAATGATTTGGCATGCTCTAAATAAGACTATAGTGTAATTATAATTTACATTGTTGTTTTTGATGACAAAGAGTTCAAAACTGTTCTTAGTATTTTAAGCATAAGATGGGACTCAAGAGACTCTTTGGGTTGGAGACCTTCTAGAAAAAGAGGGTCTCACCTGCAGTGGGTTCCTATTCACAGTAAGTTATTAAATTTATATGTCTGTTACTTACCCAAACTGACAATTGCATTATAATTCTGGAAAAATCTTTCTTAGTAATTCTCGTGTCTTTTAATTGGCTAACTTTTTGTTTTTTTTCAATGAAAGAGAAAAAAATAGTGCCAGGATAGGAAGAGAAAAATCTAACATTGATTGAAGAAAAGAGAACATGTACTACATACATAAGTACATACATACATACATCTGGAAAGGGTTATATTATTTTTAGACTTCAAGTTTACTTTTTAAAGAAAAGGTTGTTCTAAATAGAATTCAGAAGCCTTTGCATATATGTTAAAAGTAAGTTAGACTTAAAATAAGTAAAAAGTAAGGCTTGGAACCATGAACTTGATGGATTAGGCCTGGCATATTCCTCAATGCCTTTAGAAGTGACTTTTATTTCATATTTCTTCCCTTTATTAAAAAAATAAAATACTAAATCCAACATTTTGGTCAACTTTGATCCTGATTAGAATGTTTCTTTAGGTTAAAAGAAGTTTGAATTTGAGCTAATAACTTCACTCTGTAATTCTTTCTCAAGAGTTATTACTCTTCAGTGTTTGCAGAATTATGGCTAGAGTGCTATCAGTTTATACAGTTCTTCTCCAGCATGTGAAATTAAAAGCCACAGACCGAGGAGGCCAAGTTCAGTACTCTTCGTTTTGATGCTCACTTGTTTGGAGGCAATGTCTAGATGAACTGGCTTCATAAAGCCTTCTCTAGCTCTGTGGTTGTGTGACTCATAAAGGTTGAAAGTCTACAAAGTCTCTGATAGCCCTTGAAAGTTATCAATTATAGATTTGATCATAAATTTAAAATTTATCATTTTGATCTTTGTTATTTGAATAAAAGTCATATCTAAGAGTCATACCTCCTTTTCATATTATAGATGTATATGTAATATATAATGTACATTTATATATGTATTTTTCTTTTTTAGTGTAAAATTGAAATACTCTGTACGAACTGCCAGTGATGTTGCCACTCTGGATGATTTCTCAGACTTTTCTCTTGCAAAAACAGTTAGCAAAATTGAAGGGCAACTAGAAGAAGAAGGCTTACCTGATTATATAGATGATGATATTTTTTGTGGTGTTAGTAAAGACATTGGCACAGGTAGGTTTTCTTTTATTTTTATCTTTATATCGCAATTACTTAGAAAAAGATATTTAACTATTTTTTTTGCATTTCAGAATATATTGTAATGTCTTGCATTTGTTTCAAAATCATCTAGTGGGACATAGTGGTGGGAGGAATGAGTGGAATTATAGTTAAAATAAAATTGGTTATGAGTCAATAGTTGTTGAAAATGGATGATGTGTAAGTAGGGTTTCATTGAACTTGTCTCTTTATTTTTGTATATATTTGATATTTTCCATTATAAAAAATAAAAAAGGCTATGTGGTGTTTTTTTATTGACCACTTTTCAGCTAAGTTTAAAATACCCCAAAACTAATTATTAAAACATTAAAGTTAAAAAAAAAGTTTCTTTGAATTTTTGACATTTACCATTCTATAGTCTATTTATTGCATATTAATGCAAAAGGACAAATGAAATATTGATCTAGCATTAGGTAAAATGATCAAATGAGTTTTCTAATGAATATAATTTTCTTATAAACTCATTTTCTTCATACTACTAGAAAAATAATACTAAGTTTAATCTAAAACATGTTCGTTACCAGTAATGTTTCTAAAATTGTTAAATTTTGAGGTGTCATCTATGCTATTGTAAACAAAAAAATAAAACAGTTGAGTGTATATGAACATAGTTAATGCTGAACTATAATTGTGAGTTCAGGCAAACTAGTTGGCCTCTCGATAAAAGCAATTCAATTTAGCAGTTTATATTAGATGATCAAAAGGTTTATCTTTAAACTTCTCTGATTCTGTGAAAATCATCATAGTTATATGTATAGTGATTATTGTGCTGCATGCTAGTTAGTCATAAATGAGTAGCAAATCAATTTATGCATTTATTTCATTTACTGACCTATCCAGGCTTTCTGGGGCTAGTTGTTGGGAGGGAAATTAAATGAAGCAGGAAGATGCCTTTATGGCTCTGCTAAGTTGCCTTCAAGGACACACTGGTCAGCTGTTAGCTGTTTCTCAGTACAGTCACCCATGACCCTTTCCCCTTCCCAGATATAGGAACCAGCACAGACTACGTTGAATTGCTACTTTTTCTAATTGCGAAATCACCTTTCTACCACTTTGCCTCCCTGTCTTCCCTTTTGAGAATTTTTGGCCTAGGTGTCTCCCCTTTAATTCTTTTATTCCATATGATCACCTAGGGTTACATGGTGGGGGGCAGAGATCAAAAAGTAGTTCAGCAGCACAGATTGCTTTCTAAGACTCAAGTTCGAGTGGGATGGGGAGGGGAGGTTAAGGTCAATGCTGTGGACCTCCAGAGGTAAGAGCACTCCATTCCTTGACGACACTGCTAAGGTTAGACTTGGGGAGAGAAGGAGATGGGAAAAGTCATGCTTACCCATTCTTCCTCTTTTTCTGCTAGAGACCAACTGCAAACTTCACACTTTTGAATTTATTGTTTTCCTTCTATCCCCTGCTAACCGGAAGTTACCGGGGAGACTAGTAGAAGAGTTGAGGCTAGAGACCTCTAGGTGGGTTAGAGCCAACCGTATTCCTCAGCTCCATGGTAATACTGGAGACACTTCTTTTTTTTTTTTTTTTAAAGTTTTTTTTTGGGGAATTGGGGGAAGGGGAACAGTACTGGGGAATTGGGGGAAGGGGAACAGACAAGTTGCTGTCGGTTTGTTCTTCAATCTAGTTGTGGTGGACGTTGCTTCACTGGCCCAAGTTGGCACCATCATTGCGCTCTTCCCGGGGGAGGCAGATCAGTCGCCGGCTTCTGGACGGCCTCTCACTGCGGCTGCTGGCTGCTGGCTACACACGGTAGCTCATGGCAAACCACTGCCACAGGGACTGCAGCCTACGCCGTTGCAGGCAACTCACGGCAGCCCAGCTCCAGGTGGAACTGTTGTTCAGCATCTTAGCTGTAGAGGGCAGTGTCACTGACCCTCATATGTGGGATCCGAACCGGGGCCCTCTGGCATCCCAAGCCAGTTCTTAACCATCGCGCCACCCAGCCTGCCCTGGAGACACTTCTTAAGAAGAGCTTTGGGACAGGAAGTGTGTGTGGAGATGTTTTGTGCTATGTGGGATTTATCCTGCTGACTTCTCGGAGACAATTCAGGATGTTTATTCAACATAAGCTCCATGATTTCAAAGCTTATGCCTGATTTCAAAGCTTACCCCTACTATGCCTGGAACATAGTAGAGACTTAATGTAGTATATTTTTAGAGTAAATGATTGAATGAGTTACGAATGAGTTCTAAGTTCATTTTCACTTTATTAACTTTTATAAGCATATAAACCTTAAAGATTTACTGCCGATGTTATTGAATAAAGATTTACTGCCGATGTTATTGAATAAAGAACTTTTGCTAGCAATGAAATACCAAAGGTAGATCTTAATGAGGGTTTGTGGGAGAAAGCTTTGGCAGTAAAGTATTAGTGTTATTTCTTTGTTTCTAAGACACATTCAGTACACTTTAACTTCTGTGAAATTGGGATTTATCTTACAAAGACATTTTATCACCATGGCTGGGTTTAAAGTAGAGTTTTGCTAGCGCCAGGTTTGTGTTTGTTTCTGCCAAACACTTGGGGACATCACTGACTTGAGACCACTTTAAATTGTGTTTGAGGTGTGTTGGACCACCTTGGTAAGTATGAATCCAGTCTGCATACTTATGTGAATACTGGCTTGTGGTTCAGATTCTCAGGAGCATTTTTGGGGTTTTTCCCCCCATCTTTACTTGGTTCCATTGTTAAGATGTGAACAGTTCATTACTGTTGGTTGGATTTGTTTTTCATTTACCTTTTTACATTAGAGGTATATAAGGGCCTTTAGTGTTCCCAAACAGGGATCTGTTAGACTCCCCATCTTGAGCATTTTTCTCCTCATAATATAATGGTGCAGTAAGTATAAGTATTTAAATCCACAGAAGCTAAGATCAGATTTCTGAAGGCCAAACTCCGTGTTATGCAGGAGGAATTGGATAATATTGTATGTGAATGCAACAAAAAGGTAAGTTTTTAAAACTTCTCAATATAAATGCTCTAATCAAATTTTAGGAGCAGTTTCAATTATATTTTTAAAATAGCTTCATTGAGATATAAATCACATTTAAAATTTGAATTCAAAAATTGTATGTAAAAACTCAATTTTATTCTATTCTGAGATGCTGAATTTGCAGAGCTAAATAATTTTAACTACTTGTTAGCAATTAGAATTATTTATATTTAACTTGTAAGTGTAAGCTATTAAACACAAATAAAACATCTGACTTCCATTTTTGAAGATGAAAATCAAATATCACATGAAGTTCCTTTTTGTTTTTTACTTTAAGTTTTGATACCAAACCTTGTGTGTTTTATCACATACTCTATAATTTCATAATTATAGGAGGATGAAATTCAGGATTTAAAATCTCAAATAAAAAATTTTGGAGAAGATTGTGTGAGACAGCAGCGAACAATTAATTTGCAACAGTCTCAAGCAGAAAAATATAAAATTCTTTTCGAAGAAGCAAACAAAAAATGTGATGGATTGCAGCAACAGCTGTCTTCAGTAGAAAGGGTAATTATTTTGCTATTTTTCCTAACCTAATGCCAAAGATTCACTAAAATATTAATTTGTGTAGACACTACTTTTGGTTATTTAGTTATTTTGTTAGTATTGACTAAAACTCTTCCCCCACATGTGGGAGAATATTTTTTTAACAGCGTTATTGAGATACAATTCACATACAGTACATCTCACCCTTTTAAAATGTACAATTCAGTGGCTTTAAATGTATTCAGAGTTGTGCAACTATCACAACTCTCAATTTTGGAACATTTTCATCACCCCCCCAAAAGACATCCTATACCCTTTATCCTCAATACCCTAACCCTCTTCCCGCAAACCCCTCCAGTCCTAGGCAACTTCTAATCTTGACATACTTGCTTATTCTAGACACTTTATATACTCATATATAGAATCACACAATGTGTGGTATTTTATGACTGACATCTTTAGCTTAATACAATGTTTTCAAAGTTTATCCATACTGTCTAGCATTTATCAGTACTTCAGTGCTTCCATAGAGTATATAGCTATAACATGTTTTATCTGTTTATCAGTTGATGGACATTTGGGTTGTTTCGACTTTTTGGCTATTTTGAATAATGCTGCTATGAACATTCATGTACAAGGTTTTGTGTGGATGTGTTTTCATTTCTCTTGGGTATGTACCTAGGAGTGAAATTGCTGGATCACATGTTAACCCTATACTTAACCTTTTGAGAAACTGCTGACTTGTTTCCAAACCAGCTGCACTATTTTTACATTTCCACCAGCAGTGTATAAGAGTTCCCATTTCTCCACATCCTCAGCAACACATATTAGATTATCTTTTTCATTATAGCCATCCTACTGATGTGAAATGGTTATCTCATTGTGGTTTTGTAATATTTGTAATATTACTTATCCCTGATAAGTAAATATGTTGGAGATCTTTTCATATGCTTATTGACCATTTGTATATCTTCTTTGGAGAAATGTCTGTCCATATCCTTTGCCAATTTTTTAAATTGGAATTTTAAAATTATTGAGTAGTAAGAGTTCTTATATATTTTAGATACAAGTCCCTTATCAGATACACGATTTGCAAATAACTCCCACTCATTGGGTTGTCTTTTCAGTTTCTTTATGGTGTCCTTTGAAGCACAAAAGTTTTTAATTTTGAAGTCAAGTTTATCTAGTTTTTCTTTGGTTATTTGTGCTTTTGGTGTCATTTGTAATACTCTAAGCCTGTGCTGTCCAATATGGTAGGCACTCACTATATGTGACTAGTCCAAACTGTGATGTTCTGTAAGTGGAAAAAGAAAATCAGATTTTGAAGACTAAATACAAAAGAGAATAAAAAATGTAAAATCTCATTAATATTTTTATATTGGTTACATGTTGAAATAATATTTTGGATATATAGGGATAAGTGAAATATAGCATTACAATTAATTTTACTTGTTTCTCCTTAAAGTGGCTACTAGAAAAATTTAAATTACATGTGGTTCATATTATATTTCTATTGGTCTAAAAAATCTGGACAAGTGGTCTAAGAAAAAAATTGTATCTGGGAAACAACTGTTTTAATTTGTATTGACACTTTATCATTGTCATTATGAAACCAAGCTCTGGTTATATCACTGCTCTAGTCTCACATGATCTTGAAACTGCCTACATCTTTGATCCTTTTCTTGTTTTTGGCCTTCATACCCAGCCCTGTGCATTCTTTCTTCCAAATGTTTTTCATTTATCTCTTTTCAATTCCCATTGCCACTCACTACTTGGTTCAAGCCATTATCTTATTTCTGAATTGTCCTCCCTGGGTATTTTATGTCCTTTCTCTTTTCCTTATCCTTTGTATCCTGTATTCTATAAATAGATTAATATTTCCAAAGGACTACATTGATTATAACTCTACCTTTTATGGGCAGAAAAGGAACTAACATTTTTTGAGTGCTAAGTGCCAGGTAAAACACTTTACAGAAAGGGAATCTGAGTCTGAGAGGTTAAGCAAATTGCCCAAGGTCACCTAGAAGTGGCAGGGCGGGATTCAAACCATGTTTGTTTGACTCCAGAGTCTGTGTTCTTTCTAAAAATCAGGTAGACTCTCTACGCACCTCCTACCCCCACCAATTAAATGGATGTAAACACACAGCTGTTCAAAAATCTCATTGCTGTTTAGAGTTAAATATTTGAAACTTTTGCTTCACAATGACTGTAGTAAGCAACTATGATACATTGGCTCTCTGAAGATTTTTATGCAAACTTTCATTTGCTCTGAACTTCCTGGTTTGAATCCTTATCTACCTAGCAGGCAGAAAAGTATAATAATTCTCATGGGTTATGTGGAACTCAAGATTAAATCTTTCTTAGCTAATTCCATTTATTTTATATTATTTCTAGAAACAAATTTCAATGTACAGTTCACAGAAATAAAACAGACCTTGAGTTTGATGGAGCTTTTTCTCTAAATCTACAAAAGCCAACTCTTTAACCAATTATTATGTATATTAACTTATTCTGACTGCTGACACCAATGGAGTCATTTCTAAAATATAAAAACAGAAAGCCATTTATGTCAGCATTGGATTTTGTTTTTCTGTGAATGATCTCTGTTTAAAAATCAACTTTATTGAGGGATAACTTAAATACAGTAAAAATACTTGTTTTAATTGTACATTTCATTAAGTTTTGACAAACTAATACATCTTTGTAACCACCACCATAATCAAGATAAAGAAAATTTCTATCAGCCCACAAAATTACCTTTTTGTCTCTTCCCCATAAATTCCTACTCTCTAACCATAGCCCAGGCAACCACTGATCTGCATTTTTTTTACTACAGATTAGCTTTCCCTGTTCTAAAATTTCATATAGCTGGAATCATAAGTATGTATGTTTTTGCATCTGGCTTCTTTTGTTCAGCATGTTTTTGAGATTCATCAATGTTATGTGTTTCATAGTTCATTCTCATTGTATTGTTGAGTATTTATGGATTTACCACATTTTGTTTATCTGTTCACCAGTTGATGGGCATTTGATTTGATTCCAGCTTTGTTTGGACTATTAGAAATAAAGCCACTATGAATTTTCATTTACAGGTGTTTTGTGTAGACACATTTTTTTTTCTGTGTAGACACATCCAATATCATTCATGATATTGAATGAATACCTAGGAGTAGAATTTATCGGTATTATGGAAACTGTAGGTTTAACTTCCTAAGAAACTGTGTTCCACAGTGATTGTACCATGTTTCATTCCCACTCACTATATACTAGAGTTCCAGTTGCTCTACAGCCTCATCAACACTTGGTATTGTTAGTCTTTTTAATTTTAGCCATTCTAGAGGGGCAGAAGTAGTATCTTACTATAGTTTAATTTGTATTGCCTTTATAACTATAGATCTTGAGCATCTTTTCATATGTTTATTGGCCATTCGTATATCCACTTTTGTGATGTGTCTGTTCATACCTTTTGGTCATTTAAAAAAACTATTGGGTTATAGTAAGAGTTCTTTGTGTTTCCTCATAGAATCCCTTAGCTAGAAATATGTGCTGTGAATAGTTTCTCCCAATCTGACTTGTCTTTTTAAATTTTCTTAACAATAAATAGTTTTCAAAATGCAACAGTTTTAAATTTTGAAAAATTCCAATTTTTTTTTGTGGTTTGTGCTTTTTCCATCCTATTCAAGAAATGTATGCCCACCTCAAGGTCATGAGGATTTTCTAATATATTTTAAGGAGTTTTATGGTTTTAGCCTGTGTGTGTGTGTGTGTGTGTGTGTGTGTGTGTGTGTGTGTGTGTGT